CAGGGAGAATGAATCTCCCAAGACTCCATGTTATGTTAGTTAAGTGTCTCTTCGCAGGGGTTCCTCAATTCTGCTGACTTTTCCTGACTTCGGTGATAGTGTTCTGGGGCTGCCAGAACAAATCCCACAAGCTGGGAGCCTTGAGCAACAGAACCAAATGTTCTCACAGTTCCAGAGGCTAGGGGTCTAGGTCAAGACATGAGACGGGCTGATTCCGGAGGCTTGCAGGCAGCATTGTGTCAGCTCTTTCCTCCTGACTGCTGGGCTGTCAGCAGCCCTTGGTGGCTCCTGTTTTATAGACATGCCATTCCAGTCTTTGCCTCTGTTGCTCCATGGTATGTCGCTCTGCTTCCCTGTTGCTCCAGGGTATGTCGCTCTGCTTCCCCAAATGTCCTCTGTTCAGAAAGACATCAGTCACAGGGGACCAGGACTGTCTCTGACCTCCTTTAACTTGATTACATTGACTAGGACCCTCTTTCTACGTAACACCACGCTCACAGGAAGGACCAGTTGGGATGTTGATGCAGTTGGAATGCGGTCTAGACCACAGCTCTGACCAAGTGTACAGAAACATTCCCTTGGCCCCAGGCATTGGGAAGTTTTCGGTGAGACCATTGCCTCCTAGGGCAGGGAAGACCCGCCTGCAGCAAGATTTGCGCATCCTCCAGTGCAAATAGGCTGAGCTTTGCAGGACATTTCTGTTCTGGTTTCCGTTTGCCCCGCCCTAGCCCTTGGGTGTTCAACTCCTAGTCTAGGAATTTATTTTTAGTTTAATGAATAATCTATATGTTTTGAAAATGACTAATGAAAAAACAAAACAAAACAAAACAAAACCAGACAGCCACTTTGGATTGTGGAGCTTGCATTTCTGGTCGCTGATTGGAGCATGCGTTCCTGGTCTCTGTGGATCTTCTTTTCCTCCCGTCTATCTGCTTCAGCTACAAGGAAAGCACCCCCTTGACCTTTTTCTCATCACAGCCACCTCTTCCACAAGGAGGCCGTGTCCTCACTCAGCTGCAGCTGGCAATGTGTGATACATTATGACATTAAACGTGGGCCCCTCCAAAGTCTTTCAAGTGTCTGTGCGTTGCCTACATCTTGTTTTCAAGTCTCTGCAGAGGTGGGGTGGGGTGACAGTGCAGTGGTGGTGGCCGGAGGGTAGGATGTTTGCGTCTGGGCAGAGGCACGAATCTGACATTTACAAGCCCCTCGTGTTACTTGGGCCTGAAGTCTTGGCGCATTCGGGTTGGTTCGGGTTTCCTGATCACATCTACACTGACCTTAGCTTGGGGCCAATTCTGCACACTTGAGTCAGCTACTTTCTAGCTACTGCGGCCAGAAAATGATTTTTTTTCAGGCGTGCCTTGTGAAATAGTTTTGCTAAGTCTGAGAAACAGTGGCATTTCATTTTTTCAGAAACAGTTCCTTTTGGACATAAAATGACTCATGTTTACCCAAATTAGGGGTTTTGACTTTGTTCTGGAATTTTTTTAAAACTACAGTGCCCTCTAGCGGGCATTTTGTGGTACTCATGGTTTTCTGGCTAATGAATTTTCGATTTGGTTACATTGGGTCCCGACTTTGCCTCTTATTTTTGTTTTGTTTTTACCCACAAGCAAAGCTCAGCATTGGACTTCAGTCCAGGACTGAAGTGTGAGAATATAGAATCCATGCACAAACCCTGAATTTTCTCTTCCTCCTCAGGGGAGAAGGGATCCATCCCAGCAAAAGGAAATGTAAAACAGGTGCATGAGGAAATCACCATGGAGACTTGAACTGTTGATGATGGCATGTAGATCCCCAGAAAACTACCATTCAATTCGAACCTTTAAAACTATGATTTAAAAAACCAGAGTGGGATGGAGCTTTGAGTTCATGCTGGAGGGCCAGCAACAAGAAGCGAGTTTTAGGCTGCAGGTCTCTATTGCTTTATCTTTTTCTCACACAGGTCAGGTTAGCACAGGCTTCCGTCGCCGGCTTTCCCTCTCGGTTGGTTGGGCAGTTGGCACGGCAACGCAGGTCCTGGTGGCTGCCTTCTACAGAAGCTCTAGAAAGTTCTTCAAGGTCGTGCTTGGAAAGCCTTGTCAAGACTTCTCAAGAATCTTTGTGAAACTTCTACAGAAAATCACAGGAGCCAATGTTTTCATAAATGAGCCAAAAAGAAAAGAAAGCTTTTAATGGGAGTGGGGAGCGGATATTAAATGGTTGCTCTATTCTTTCATTTCACTATGTAATTAGGAAGAGTTCCTCTTGAACTGACCACCTATCTGGACAGGCGTTTTGGATCAGACCCTTGAGTCTCTGGAGCGGTGTGTGAATATCTCTGAAAGGGTATGCCTTTAAAACCAGAGCTGAGGGGGACATTAAGGGATGGACTAAGAGAGACAGCCTTCTGAGTTATAGAACATGTTCCCTGTTGGCCTCAGTTTGTGGAGGACTCTCCAGGGGTGGGTTTATCAGACCCTTGGGACCTGGGGAAGCTCTGTCGCTGCCCCTACACCAGCACAGAGACCTCCCTATATGAGTCGCTATAGACAGCTGGAATGTATCCCACATTCAAGACCACATTCTAGACCTCAGAGGAAAGATTTCACAGTCTCTGTGGAGGGGACACGGACCCCTGTGTTCACTGACTTAGAGTTGGAAAGATGATAAACTCATGTGATTGAATTTTCCTGTGGTATAAAGTTGACAATTAGCCTCGAGGAGGCAAAGGACAATCGGAGGTTCCCTGAGACTGGGAGGGTGTGAGGGTGTGAGCCATGCAATCCAGGGCTAGGGCATGTGTCTCTGAAGCTGAGTAGGGTGACCTGGGACTCCATGCATGTCACTCCTAACCCTAACACCCTGGCATTGGCATCCAGTTACACAGAATGTCACACTGTCTCCCATGGGGGAATGACATGAGTGAGCAGACCTGTCTTGAGAGGAATCATAGCCAACAGCTCTCCTTTTGAGAGTCCCTTTGGGAGAGACTGGAGTCTATTACTTTCGGGGTCAAACCTTTTGTCCCTCTTAGGCTCACACTCTTTATCCCTGATTTAAAGGTTTCACTGTGGAGATGGCTCAGGGGACTCAGAGATTGCCGCTTAAGTGCAAGGACCCGAAATCAGATCCCCAGGGCCCAAAGTAGGGTATCTGTCAACCCAGTACTCCTAGGGAAAAAAGCAAAGCGGAGACTGGAGGATTCCTAGGCGCTTCAGGCCAGATTTAACAGGGCACAGGAAGAGGGAGGAGGAGGCACGGACTGCCACCGGATATGGTCCTCTGACTTTCACACATACATCTGTGCTTCCCTCCTGCAAATAATCATGCTCCCCCACATGTCACTCATGCATGTGTGTACATACAAGATACAATAGAAGTGGAAGGTTTTATCCTAAATGAATTTGTTTGGCTATTTTTTTTTTTTTTTTTTTACTTCTAGACTTGGTGCCTTTTAATGTTTTGTTTCGGGTGGGCTGCAGTGTTCTATGGCCAACACAGTAAAGCCTTCGGGGTTTCTGCTCTTCTTTCAAGTGTGTGTGTGTGTGTGTGTGTGTGTGTGTGTGTGTGCACCTGCTTGCAGCACACAACGCCTGTCTGCACTCTATGCACTACCATACAGTTCCTGAGCTTCGGGCAAGGGACTGGAGATTGAAACATACAGAGACACACAGACAGAGAGACAGAGACACGGACCTCTAGTCCCTGATAAGAAGCCCCCTATTCAATAGCACCACGGAGGCTGATATACCCAACCGTCAGATGGGCCAACAGGTGAAAACCTGATCCTCTGATCCTCAAGGCCAAGGCAACAACTTTGACACAGCTTCCAGTAACTCAAATCAGAAGGAAAGCAAAGATCGCAAGCAGGGAAGAGCAGCTGGAGGCCAGGACTCCAAATGCTCCCAACACCTGCTGTCTTTCAGTCTGCTGCTTTATCTCCTGAATTCGTTTTCACTGATTTGACTACTGGTTTCAGATACCGGCAATGAAGAGAGCTGAACGATGCCCTCTAAAGATACGGGCCCAGCCTATTCTCCAGAACAGCTGGACATTTCCATATTTGCAGACATAATGAATTCCCAGGATGGGGAAATTATTGATCACTTGTGTGGGTCCTAAATCCACGACAGGAACCGTCAGAGAAGACACACCGCATGATGTGAAGCCGGGAGAGGCTGACTTGATGTGGCCAGAAGCCAAGACATTCTGGTGGCTGCTGGACATGCTGACGGCCAGCAGGCGCTAATGAGAGGGAAGGGGACATTTTTCCAAGCACAACCATGCTGACACCTTGGCTTCCGGCCTCCAGGCCTGGAGGAACGTTTGTGTTGCTTTGAGCAACCATGTTTCTGGAACTTGTTACGGCAGCCGCAGTAGGCTACAGCAGTCTGTCACATTCTCAGACTGTGTCCTATGTATCTCCAGATATGACAGCCATGATTTTCTTATTTAATGCTGTTTCCAACTGCCAACATTAGACAATTATTACATGTATGTACATACATGAGATATACATGTGGAAGTCAGAGGAACGCGAAGGAATTGGATCCTTTGTTCCACACATGGGTCTGGGGGACGGAACGCAGATCATCAGACTTGGTGGCAAGTGCCTTTACCCACTGAGCCATCTTGCCACCCCCCTCTCAAGCCACCTCACATTTTGAGTCATCCACCTCAGTCGGGCTGTGCATTCTACTCTTGCCTTCTATTCGTGGAGTTCCGGTCACACTGGATTGGCGTGTGGCACTTTATCTATTATCTCCAGTATGTGCCTAGTACTGGAGGCCTGTGTGTCTGTCTTCACCAGGCAGATGAAAAGAAGCGGACTTATTGTAGCTTCACACACTTTGGAACAAAACGCTAGGGAATGCAGAGAATGGAACAGTTTGACGTCTTGAAAGGAATCAGGGTCTAGTGGTGCTTTTGAGCAACGGCACCGGCATCCTTTTTAAAAGCGGTTCGCCTGACATATCTTATTTCCAATCTACAACCATTAAAAAATGCTTTGTAAGTCCACATTGTACAGTTCGTGTTTGAAATAAGACACAGGGAAAGGAAGCTGTCAGACTAAACTGTGGTCCTCCCAGCACCCAATCCATCCTGGGAAGGAGCCTTTGAGAGCAGAAGGGAGGATTGTGGGGAGGAAGAGAAGGAGGAGGAAGAGGAGAAGGAGAAAAAAGAGGAGAGAACAGTGGGAGAGGCAGAGAGGTGTCTCATGGATGCCTGTGGTCTCTGCCCTCCTGAGGGCTTGGAGCTGATTTTTGGCACTCTCTACATGGTCTCTCTGGGCTTGCGAAGAGAAAGAGGCATATCCATGCTGTTAGTGTGTGGTTTGGAGAGAGATTTTCCAGCTGGAATTCGGTTTTACAATTGGAGGAGGACGAGGCCTCTGTCTTCTCTTGGCCTTCATCTCTGCTTTTAAGAAATGACTGTGATAAGTTTATTTTCATAAGGTGTTGTGGCCAGGGGTGAAAGAGAGGATGCATACAATGCTCTGAGGCTGATCTCTGCCGTAGAACTGCCGACTGTCACTCACGTCGTCATGCTTTAACTGTCCGATTGGTAGGAGACTCCTCAAGACTGAAAGGGAAATTTCCAATTTAGATTATTTCCTCTAAGAGAATAAAGACAGCACTTATGCCTTGTGTGGCCTTGAAAGTAGGGGTCCAAACAGAATTGTGTTGTGTCGGAGCAAGCAAAGAATGCATGAAGCTGCTATTAATTATTGTGTTGTGTAATAACAGTAGACACACTCGCAGGGCACTGTGCCATGTGCCATTGGTAGGCACACAAACAGGCATCTAAAATAATAATGACAATGGAGTAAGGTAAAATAAAAGCAAACAGCAAGGTGTGATGGCGCAGGCCTTTAATCCCAGCACCTGGGAGGCAGAGGAGGAGAATCTCTGAGTTTGAGGTCAGCCTGGTCTACAGAGTTCCAGGACAGCCTGGGTAACACAGGGAAACCTTGTCTCAAAAATAAATAAATAAATAAAACAGAATATAATAAAAAATAGAAAAGAAAGAAAGAGAGATAGAGAAAGAGAGTGCCAAAGAAAAAGCACAAGGAGACACACATTCAAACCCATTCAAACACACAGAAAATCCATAGAAACAAAATTGGAAACCATAAAATATAAGCAAAAAAATCTGAAAGACAAATGCATAAATAATGAACAAAAGAAAGAAAACAGACAAAACATTGTGAGATTAAAAAAGAAAAACAAAACCCCAACAACAACAACAAAAAACAAAACAAAAAATAAAACTCCCCAAACCACTGAATTTTTCTTGGCCGTCTACTGCTTGCAATAGCACCTGGTCTTAAGTGAGAGTCCACTGGAGAAATGAATTTTTCCTTTGTGAGTGGTTATAGTTGGAGATAGCTTCTGAGTTGGTGTGGGGCTTGTGTCCACTCTCTTCTCGGCGCTGGAATCCCATCTGGCCCAGGCCAGTACAGGCCCTGTGCACGCTGCACAGACTCTGTGAGGTCATGTTAGCCTCGGTCCTAGGAGACCTTGTTTTCTTGGTGTCCCCCACCCTCTCTGGCTCTTATAGTCTTTCTGCCTCCTTTTGCACAGCCTCACCTGGGTCAGGAGGGGTGGATCTGATGGAGACATCCCACTTAGGGCTGAGTGTTCCAGGGCTTCATTCTCTACCCACTGTCACACTTAATGAGTCTCTCTGCATGGCTTCCCATCTATTGCACGAGAAAGCTAAGGATAGACATTTCTTAAGAGGAAATGATTTCCGATCAACAGAACCATATCTTTAACTTCTGTTCCCCGTGAATTTAGAAGCACATTTATTTCCTTCATTGTGGTTGTGCACAAGGACTTGTTGATCACAAGACATATGTTAACACTGACACTTGTTTTTTCCAGATTACTAGATGGTTCGTGAGAACACTTCTCTGGCTTAGTCTCCATGACAGGGCAGAAACCAACCAAGCCAGTGTCTCCGAATTTTCTCGAACGAATCTGCCACCTTGTGGTTGTTTGTAAAATAGGAAACCAGTTTGAAATAAATATGTTTGCAAACGAAGGAGTGGCAGGACACTTAGAAACTGAAGGCCTCTACACTCCTAATAGGGAAGCTTACAGCCCATATTGCATGAGCTGAATGTGACCATGCAAAGCGAGGCTTCCTACCGCCACTGCGTCTGTGCAAGCTTCTGCTGGTGATGCCAGGAAATGAAAGCAGGAAAAGGAAAGATGCCATCAGGATTAGAAAGAAAGCAGAAGAAAAAGAAAAGAAAAAGAAAGTTAGAAGCCAGGTGTGAAGTACATACCTTTAATCCCAGTCCCTGGGGTGGAGAGGCAGATGGAGAGGCATGGGTCTTTATGAGTGAGACCCTATCTCAAAAAACAAAAACAAAAACAACAAAAGAACCCAAAATAAATAATACATTATTAAATAAGCAAAACGGTAGAAATGTAAATGGTTGCAAGATGTATGTAATAATTACATTTCTTTTCTATGAAACAAATCATTACTTTTACATGCCGTTCATTAATTCCCATCTTTGACGTTTTCATAAATCCATCCAAAGTACTCTAGTTATTCTCACCTCAGCCTCCCCACCTCCTTTCCGCCCCTGTCAGCCCTTCCCCTTTATAAGGCCCTTACTCATATTCAAGTCTTTTTGCTGTCTTGGATTACACTAGGGCTGTTTGTGGCCATGAGTCTGTACTACTCACGGGAGCCTGGCGGGCTTTCCTCTGGGCACCCAAGTGAACATAGTGGGTGCCTGTTCCTCCACTCAGAATCCTTTCGCAGGTGGGGGCTGACTTCTGAGTGCCCCCTGCTCCATGACTGACTTACGCGAGCCCCGGTCTTGCACAGCCCCGGTGCAGGCACCCGTAGCTGCTCTGAGATGGTCACTGTAATGGCTTCCAGGGGCAGATGGTGACATTTCACAGCCCTTCTTCCAGTCTCCTGGTCATCGTACTCTTTCTACCCTCTCTTCCATGATGAAGCAGCAAATTATTTTCTTTTATTATGAACCAATTAGTTTAACTAGGGTTACTTATGGAGAAACTCACTGACAGCCACATCACGGAAGCACATGTCTCTCCCCACCACAAGCATTAACTGACTTTAGGTCCTCAGGGAGGGGCAGGTCCTCTGAGCTCCTTCCTCCATGTCTTCTGCTACCTGAGTTCCCCTGAACTGCCCCGCCTCAGCTACCCCATCACCTCTAGGCCCAAACCTTCCTCTTCCCAGCTCATCCTGTCTCTCAGCTTTGGATGTAGAGGACTACTGCCCCTCTCTCCTTCCAGTGAGCCTTAGAGGTCCTGAAGGCTGTACCCTCTGCTCAGCATCTGCATTCTCCTCCCCATCCTCACAGGGCTGTCTCTCCTTAATCAAGCATCAGCTTCACGCTAGGAGACGCCAGACCATTTATCACACACTGGCTCTCACACTGGCTCTCATTTGACGCCTGTCACTCCTCAGAGAGAAGTGACTATCTGGAAATGACCTTGCTGTCACAAAAGCCTCCTCTGCTCGGTGATTGCTGAACCCCTATTGTTCGGCATTAGTTTCTGGCACCCAGTGAGAGCCCTATAGATGCATTCAGTATGTGTGTACTCAAACTTCCTGAGGTAGTAATCCCCGCCGTCACCTCAGCTCTCTGATCTATGGGAATCTTAGTTACTTTCTGGGTACTGTGATAAAATACCACAACCCAAAGCAACTTAAATGGAGAAAGGGCTTATTTGTGACTTATGGTTCTGAGGACTGTAGCCCATCAAAGAAGGCAGGAAGTAGAGAAGGCAAGACGGCAGGAACGGGAAGCTGGCTGGTGGCATCACTTTCGCACCCAGGGAGCGGAGGGCCATGAATACATTCTGCCACTTGGTTTCCTTCCTGAGAGGTCACAACCTGTGTCCCAAACCAGTTCCAGCCATCTAAGATCAATAAGCCAATTAAAAGAGTCAAATTAACAGTGGAGAGCAGACAAGGGTGATTTATGCAATGTGGCCACACTGGGAAGAGAAACACAGAGATCCATCAAGGCTCTCCCTCTACCCAGCTTGTTTTAGGGGTTCCGAAGTGAGGTAAAAGTCTTACTTGAGGGCCAGGGATATGCATATCTAAGTAGTCCAGGTCAAGCTGTGGTCCCGCCCATCACTGAGGGTTATGTAGACTTTACTTACAGCCCATAACACAGTTTCTCAAGTTGTTGGAACTGTGTAAATTCCCCCTCTGGCTGGGGTTTCTTCCTTATCATAGCATAAGATTCCTGGGGGAAAGTCCCTCTTTCTTTGGGGTCCACTGTTTCAATAGCCAGATGGTCACATTGAGGGACACAAGCGTCTCTTTAGAATGTCTCCATTTCTGTAGGTACAGTGCCTAGAGGTGTTCCCACCTCAGTCAGGATTCACAGTCAGACCCCACAGACATTCCCAGAAGCCCATCTATGACAGTCAGCACTCACCGTCACGTGAATGCTTGACAAACACACGCAGGAATGGCACTGAACTGACGGTCTTATTAATAGCACTTGGGAAGGTCCCAATGCCTTAACATACCAAGATACTCCATTTTGCAAAATGAAGGAATGGAGCTGCATCGGAGATGACAGCCACATAGCAGTTTTGAGTGACGGATCGGCAGTGGGGTGTGGGGTAAAGTACAGCAATGGACATTTTACCCATGGAAAGGATGTGATTGATCAGCAATGCATGATTATCACTGTCTACCCTGGAGGGGAAACAGAGGGCTGGGCATGCTTGGACAATATGCTTCTTTTAGTTAGAAACGCTGAGAAGTTATTTACAAAATTTTCAAAACGTGGTCACTTGGATTGAATTCTATACTTGAACTTAACTCAAGCTTTTGAATGTTTCTCAGCATTTAACGAAAGAGTAAGGATTAAACCTAGACTCAAAATTAAAAACTGCCTTTGGAAATTAGTTGAAGGCTAGAAATAGATCTGTGTCTGTTTATCTGATCAGCATTCATTTGGGTTCCTATATCACAAGGGAAACAACTGTATCGTCTGACATTGACAAGTGACCTTCCACACCTATCCTAGGTGTGGAGTCTGTTATGCTTCAAACTTTATTTCCCTGAAGCCATATCTTTTCGGCCTCTTCTCACTGGAAAGGGTAGGGCTTTCACGGCCTTCTTTTCTTCTATTTTGCATCTCCACAAAGAGATAATTCAGAGCAGATTAGTAGACAGTCCACACCGTGTTTCAGTTACCGAGATAATCTCAGTGATAATGCTGAGGTAATACTCACTTGAAATCATGGGATTAAAATAAAATAAACCCAAGAAGAGACTGAAAGTCCCTTTTATGGAAATTGGGAACGAGTTCTGGTTTTCATCACCTTTGGTAACAGGCAATCATAATGTTTTGAGTAGATGGGAAAAATAACTGAAGGGATTTACCTCTCTAAAAGAATGTGAAGCTTGCCATATAAGTAGGCACGGATTTTAGAATATAGAAATACATCAAATTCTATACACTTAAAAAGTTTTCAGAGTATCTTCTTCATTTATTTGTTGCCACTAAATAATAAGACAATGTATGTTAGATAAATTTCAGCTTTCCAAAATGAAGCTTCAAGCTCACTGCTGAGAGTTTACAAATCAAATTACCAGAGGAAATGATCACTATCTACACCAGAGGTAAGGGAATAACCTACTGTCCCTTTTCTTAATGAATAAACTTTTCTTGGTTCACAGCATGTCCATTTGTTTATATCTTGTCTATCATGGCTTTCCTACTATTGTCCTGGAGTTAGGTGCTGCAGACAGCAATGGCGGTGTCCCTGCATTCAGCCCCAAAGCATTCACCCTTCCTCCCTTTGTAATTGTTGTTGCTGCTGACTTCTGCTGCAGCTCCTGTGCTTCCCTTTAGACTATATACTTTTGATAGACAGGTATTCTATGATTTATTTCATTTTTCAAATACTCTTAAAATACACTAGTTATTTTGAGAAAGTGTAGTAATGTCAATTTAAATAAATAGCATTCATGTCAGGTTTATGTAGAGGGCAGTACCTGAAATGCGGTCATAGTAGTTTTTCTATGTCTCCTTGGCCCACCCTTCTCTTCTCAGTGGAGAAAATGTGTGTGCGCATGTGTGTATGCGTGCTCGTGTGTGTGTGTTCTGATTCTCCATTCCAGAGGAGCATTTCAGCATCCATTGCCCTAAGGAGTCTCCACGGGGTGATGGATTCGTCATCTTCCAGCCTGGATTTCCTCTAAGAGTTCCCAGGAGCCATGCAGGACACTTTTGAGTCCATCCACCTAGCAAATGTTCCTTAACAATCTTTCTGGCCCAGATCGCCACTTCCATTTCCTGGATTTTGAACTCTGCGGTATCTACTATGTCACATGAAGGCATTTGAGTCCAGCAGCTAAGCCAGGATGCAAAGAGTCCAATGACAGATTCTCTCAATGGATTTCCAGTGAGAAGTGGGAGAACTCTCTATCACGGCTAAAATGTAGGCCATGGTCTCAAATGAAGAAGAAAAAGGTAAAGAAGAAAAAAGCAGGGTGGGGGAAGAATAGAAGCTCTTAAATTACAACTTCTTTCTTTATTCACTCATTGCTTTAGCTAAAGCAGCACTTAAATTAAATTTTCTTCTTTAGTACAAGTTCACACTACAGTATCTGGCATTTGAGAAGAATCTAAGAAAATGTTTACTTAGTACACTCAAGGTCTGTATGCAGTCCCAGTACTATGAGGAGCAGAGGAGGCTGAGACAGAAGGAAGAAGATGAGGATGAGCAGAAAAAGAAAGAATTTAAGGGAGGTCTGGGAACTCCCTTATCTTTGTCCCTGGTTATCCCAAGAGACTGGGGTCTCCTGATTGCCAAGTTCCACTTGAGACTCAACAGAAGAGGCAGTACTAGGGGTGAGTACTTCCCAGAGCATTGGGCTCTCTCTCTCTCTCTCTCTCTCTCCTCTCTCTCTCTGCCCCCGCTCTCCTCTCTCTCTCCCCCCCCTCTCTCTCATCTCTCTCTCTCCTCTCTCTCTCTCCCCCTCTCTCCTCTCTCTCTCATCTCTCTCTCTCTCTTTCTCTCTCTCTCTCCCCTCTCTCTCTCCTCTCTCTCCCCCCTCTCAAATTTATTTATTTTATTTTTGCAATTTTATGTACATTGGTGTTTTGCCATGGGTGTCAGGTCCCCTGAAACTAGATTTACAGACAGTTGTGAGCTGCTATGTGGGTGCTGGGAATTGAACCCCGGTCCACTGGAAGAGCTGTCTGTGCTCTCAACCACTGAACCATCTCTCCAGCCCCGAGCTTTGGTCTCTTAATGAGAACTGTGATGCTGTCCAACAGATAATCCCTGCACAGAATTTCCTGTTCAGACAGCATTACTTTCACCTTCTC